GTTGTTGTTGATGTTGAATTTGTTGTTGTTGTTGTTGTTGTTGCTGTTGCTGTTGCTGTTGCTGTTGCTGTGGCTGCGGCTGCGGCTGCGGCTGCGGCTGCGGCTGCGGCTGCGGCTGCTGCTACTGCTACTGCTACTGCTACGGCTACTGCTGCTGCTGCTGCTACTGCTGCTGCTCTGCGCTGCTGCACCTGCTGCTCCTACTGCTACTACTGCTCCTGCCCATACAGCTGCTTCTGCTGCTACCGCGACTTCCGCTGCTGCTGCTGCTGCTACTCCTGCTGCAACTCCTACTACTCCGACTACGACGACGGCTACCACCAATACTTTATCTGATTCTGCTGCTCTGCGAGTTCTACCGCAAGCACCACCACCTTCTACTGCTGCCGCGGCAGGTTCTACGACCCAAACAGGGTTGCAACCATGATCCATGAAGACGGTAGAACTGCAAAACACAGGAACAAGGGCAGCATCAAGGGCAGTAGTAATACAACCAGCATCGTATTAGCATTGCACCAGTAGCAAGCAGCATCCAAGAAAAGAAGTGCTGGTAAATGCTGATGCAGTCTTTCAGCATTTCTGCTCTGTGGGATCAGCCACACCTCTTGCAGGAGCGCTGGGCGGAAGCCAGAGCAAGAAAGGAGGCGCTCCATTCCTGCCGGCACCATTACAACAAGACTTCGCTCGTCTTGCACAAGGCAGCTAGCTTTGATCGGTGCTGCACAGAATTTGCTTTCAGGAGCAAAGAGCTCGCGGCGAGGTGGTCAGCGAGGACCGGGCATTTCGGGGCAGAAAACTCTAGGGAGCATGCAGAGCAGCTTTGGTTTTTGTAGCTTGAACCATCGAAGACCAAGCGACCTCTTTTGAGATTCTACGTGTAGAGTCACAGAGAGGACGAAGAAGAAGGCAGCGAGGACTGTGGGGTGTCCAATTGTCGAACGAATGCCAGGGTTTTCGTCAGAATACCGTCTGTTTGGCACCGAGGAGGAGCTAGCCCGGTACTGAAAGCTGTGCAGCATGGTGGCGACAGCAGGCGATGTAGGTCACAGACTGTGGCAGCGAGGTCGAATACTACTGCGAGATTTGCAAAAAAAGCTTCAAGTCGGAAAAGGCACCGCCGGCTTGTCGCACCTTGGCCGCCCCGTGAAAACGAGCCATGAAGGCTTTCGAGCAGCATCTCAAGAGCAAGAAGCATCTGCAGGCCCGTTGTGCTGCAAGGGTCGAGCAGTCCTTGGGATTTAGGGCTGAGCTTTGTGAGCTCTGGAGGCTGTTGCGAAGCTGCAGAAGGAGCTGGATCGGGAGATGAAGGTGCAAAGCTTATGCTTGAACCCGGGGGGTCGGGGGGTAAGCCAACAGGTGCTGTCCTAAACCCTAAATAAACCCTAAACCCTAAACCCTAAACCTGTGTTTCAGACAAGGAGGAGGCGAGAGCCTCGAAGAAGCAGCCCCAGGAAGCCGACGAGTCTGAGGAAGAATCTGATCAAGAAGCCGAAGGCGCCGATCGTTTACATGCAACAAGGGCCCCTTAATGGTTACCAATACTATGCCAAGGGTTCCTTAGTATACTGTAGTTATAGTTATAAAAAAGTAACTGACAGTTACCAAAACTATTTTAAGGGTTCCTTATTATACCGTAGTTATCGTACAGTAACTGACAGTTACCAATACTATTTCAAGGGTTCCTTATGATACTGTAGTTATAATATAGTAGCTGACAGTTACCAATACTATTTTTAAGGGTTCCTTATTATACTGTAGTTATAATATAGTAACTGACAGTTACCAATACTATGTTAAGGGTTCCTTATTATACTGTAGTTATAATATAGTAGCTGACAGTTACCAATACTCTTTTAAGGGTTCCTTATTATACTGTAGTTATAGTATAATAATTGACACCGAAGCCCACGTCAGGAAAGCTCCAGGAGACGGTTTCGGCAGAAGCAGAACCATCGAAGCCCAGCAAGCCCGTCAAACACGAGACGGCCGATTCCGAGACCAGAGAGGATGGGCTGGGGAACCTCGATACATCGGCACTGGCTTGCTCCGGAGAGGCGTAAACACATCAGATCGCTTGAGTGTTCACGACAGTTTGTGAAAGTGTCCACCCCTCCTTGACTCGAAGTAGGCCCAAGTAATCCAATCGGAATCAGGGCGTTGTGAGACGAGTTCACTATGGTAGTGTAGCTCTTGCAAAGGCAAGGTTTATGCGGAGGCGGCAGCATCGGCAGCCACGTCATGCACCGATACTACCACACGAGAACTGCACCATCAATGGAGTCTTGCCGACTGCTACAGCGATCCAGGCCCCCTTGCTGGTTCACAGCTCATCTGCATGCAATGCATCATCACAACCATGGTATCAGATTTGCAGGCGGCTTCCGGTCCCTGCCAACCCATCATTCGGAGTTGCCAAGTTGAAGTGTGTTGGGCGGAATGCATAATATCTGACATTACTTGGCAGTACAGGTTCCTCTCTAATGGCTGCTATAATCATATGCTTGGCACTTGTCTTGTCGTGCCGGTGCTGCTGACCAATCTAGCAGAGGACGATTCCAACAGCGAGAGCAGAAGCGACAGCGAGGCCCATCATTGCCATCGTCTTTATGGTTACTACAGCTACAGTTCCATTACATTGCTATCACTTCTATTGTTGTTATTAGTATTGTCATTATTGTGACTGTTGTTCTTGGTATCGGTATTGCTAGTGTCACTGCCACTGGTAACGGTTACGATTTTGGTCCGTGGTTGTGGTTGTTGTTGTTGTTGTTGTTGTTGCAACCTGCTAGGGTTTCTCGTTATTATATACTTACTTCGGTTATTGTTTTGTTATTGTTGTCAAACTGTAAGTTTATTTGCATTAATTAGTAGTTGTTGTTATTACCAGTACTATGACTAGGCATGCCACACTTCAATGAGCCCGGTGTGCATAAAATAGACCGAAAGCACGGCCGTGGCCGGTGTGAACAACTGCACCGCAAACCTTGCTCCGCCTCAGGAGCAGCTTTCCGGCCTGTGAGTTGAGGAAGCATTCCATGTTTCTTCCCTCCCGTAGATGTTTCTGTTGTATTTGTGCCTGACGGTATCTGCTCGACCGCCAGCCAGCAAACTGTCAGGACGACTTCCTGGCTCGTTTTGCTGCGAAGAAGCAGGGCGGTCGTGGTGGCCAGGACCTTGGACCGAGTTTGCAGTGGCCTTCACGTGACAAGTGGAAGCTCATTTATGCCACTTTGCACTGCCTTTGCTGTCGAATTCCGCATATTTCACATGATTCCACTATGACTATGCCTTCATGGAGGCTACCCTCAGGCCGCCACGAAGACCGACCAGGTCGGCTTGCTGCATAGCTGAGCTCGCCTTGGAATGCTGCTTTCGCCTGTGCAGAAGTCGCTGAAGACGCAGGCGTCAGATAGTGAAGACGAGGAGCAAGAAGACATTCGGGGACGAAGGCGTTGTGCTGTGCTAGGGGATCACGGTGCCAGAGCCTCACCAATACGACGATCTTGCGAAAGACTAGAAAGCCCCCAGGGCGCAGAAGAAAGAGCAGCAAATGGCGGCAGCACTGCAGAGGCAGCAGGCAGGCTTGTCTAGCTTGTGGTCTGAGTCACATATTCGTTTCTCAAGCGGACTTCCTCTCCGTTTTCACAGCTGTTCTCAAGGGGGGTCTTTTGAGCAGGAGCCTTTCAAACGAAGCTCCTCCAGTAGAGGAAAGGATCGCATGCAATCTGTACAAACACAGTGCTGCGATCAGTGTTGAGCCAGACTTTTGGTGCTTTGATATAGTTGACTTCTGATTGTGTGCATGCACCTTTGGAAAGTGTGTGGACCGTGTGGGTGGCATTTCGAAGTTCGTGTCACTGTTGATAGCGAGCCTGCTTGAGACTGCTTATTTTGTCGTTTCGAGTGGTGGGTGTTGGTGGCTGCCTGCTGTGAGCATGTGTATGTCAGAAAGCTTTTGAAGCAAGTGCTCCACATTTCAGATCAGTTTCGCCAAACAAGAAATACTGGGATTTTGAGAAGTCTCATGCAGCTTGGAGAAATTGAGGGAGCTTAAGGACGCCCGGGTAGTTTCGAAAATTGTCTCGTGCTGCCATGTCCTAAGATCATAATTCTCATATCCCCAAGCCATTTGAATGAGCTAAGCTGACTCTCCCAGGAGAAAGATTCAGAGCAAGTCAGGCCCTCAACTTCGTTGCCGCAAGATTGCAGGTGCGGCCAGTGTAGACTTGTATCAGCACGTTATAGCAGTGTAGCAGTACGGGAGCGCAGGAGACCTGCCAAATGAATTGGCCGCAGCGTTTCCTCATAGTTGGGGCTCAATGTTAGCCTTGAGTGAGAGAGGCCTGTGCGGCGATGCCAATAGCGGACATAGATTACCGAGAGTATTTCACCAGCGAGAAGATAGCCGACTTGAAGGAGTCCTTTGACAGCTTCGACTCTTCTGGAGATGGAAGGATTGGGGCCGACGAGCTCTATGGCATGTTTAAGAAGCTGGGCACCAATTTGACGCGATCCCAGATTCGTGAGGTCATGCGCGAGGTAGACGCAGATGGGAGCGGCGAAATCGAGTTCGAAGAATTATGTATTTTAGAAATCAAAATGGCGCGCACGCGCCCGCGCCCGGACCTCATCGATTATCAGGATTATCTCGACTGCAAAACCATCCAGAAGCTGGAAGAGGCCTTCGACAGACTGGACGCCGACTCGCGGGGATATGTTTCTGTTTTTGAGATGAAAGGATTGCTGGAGGCACAGGGTTGCAAGTCAAGCGAAGATGAAATCGACGAGATTTTGGGAGAGCTGAACAGCCAGGGGGAGCTGGACTTCGCTAGCTTTGCCTCAGCATGGGCAATCGCAAACCAAAGTCGGAAGCGTATCAATTATCGTGAGTTCTTGGACAAAGATGAGGTCGAAGAGTTGAAAGAACTCTTTGAGGAGGGGACGGGGGGTCAGGGTAATTTGGCAATCACCGAGCTGGATCACATCTTCCGCAAGTTTGGCTACCCAATGAAGACGAAGCAACTTCGGGGCCTTCTAAAGGACTTCGACAGCGACTCCTCTGGGGAGATAGACTTCGAGGAGTTTTGTGTCATGATGCTGCGGCTCAAGTGCGCGAAGCAGGTCCGACACATCAGCCCGGAGACGCACGACTGCCGCAGTCTGTGGCTAGACGAAGGCTTCACGGCCAAGGAGCTGCAAAAGTCCGGGTATGGTATCTTTCACATGAAGGCTGCCGGTATCTCTGTCCGCCAGATCCTCGCCGAGGCGGAGGTCACGGCGCTGGAGATGCGTTTGTGCGGCTTCACAGCTCAAGAGCTAAGGAAGGCAGGGATGGGGGCCAGCGAGTTGAGGGCCGCAGGCTTCTCCTTGGCGGAGCTGCGTTTGGCTGGCTTCTCACATGCTGTGTTGCAGACAGCCAACAAAACTCTGCGCTCCTATCTTTCCAAAGGGAACCTCACCGTGCTGCCGCAGCAGAACCCGAAGTTCGACCCCAAGAGGAAGAAGCACACTCCCTTCATGAAGCTCTGGTTGACACCGAAGACATCAGATGATCCTAAACCTGTCACTCCTCGCATTCGTGAGCACACCGACTACCGACCCAAGTCAAAGTCGGCACGGCCCGCTACGACAGGTTCAGCAGAGCTCGGAAGATATGAGACTACCTCCAGAAATCCTAGCAGGATGGGAAGTTATTCAAGCTATCGAGTTAGCCGTATGGTGTCGGAAGCCCGGCGGCCCTTTACAGCAGCTTGAGCAGGGCGAGGTGGTTTATGTATAATTAAAGCTGGCAAGGGGCTTTGCAAAGCAATCGTCTCTAGCTGGCTGCTTGTATTTCTGTTTCGCATCACAAAGTCTCACCGTTTCACAAACTCGAGCAGATCGGAAAGTGTTTCAACTGCAAAAGTGCTGTCACCGTCGTATCTTCAAGCACCTGCCCTCAATTGGGGGACGCCCATTACTTGGAAATCCCTGTGACAGCATAGAAAGAATCAATGATCCACCTGTAACTATGTTCACATGCTGTTGCGCAGTCTTCGACGTGATGCTTCTGGGACTTTTCGGGGCTGCATGCCTGTGCTACATCGGACAGCCCATTGTAATTAGAAGCCCCACCCGCTGATATTTTGCAACAGGTTCCCGGGCATCCCATGCTGAGTGCTAAGGGGGTTTCTGAGGCTGGAGGCAAGCCAAGAAAGAAGGAGGCACCGCGGAGCAGTCAGCAGTTTACGCTCCATCACCGCCAATACGAGTGCCATGCAGAAGAAGAAGACGCCGTGGCTCATGACATCTCATTGTAAGCTACTACAGCCGGTCTCGGCTTTGCATTTCAGGTCGTTTCACCATGTTGAATTGGCTGTTAAACTACAAACAAGCTCATCACCGAGCTGACTTCTTTCCGGTGCAGGGTGTTGAGCCCTCTGCGAAAGACGGCCCCATTCCCGAGGTGGGCTAGGGTTGCCATGCGTTGACACCCTGAGAAGTTGAAAGCCATGCTTAAATCACGCAAGTCGTGTTGTCAAAGGCAATAAATGCATAGTAAGAGTAAGATAGTACGTGACTAGCTAAGTGATTTGGCGTTATATTGCTACGGCTGCTACTAAGTAAATAGTTGGCTAGTTTCATGTGCTGCACCAGGGCAATGTTTGCGGCGTCTGCGGGGAGGCAGGGCTCTGAACTTGGGGCGGATAATATATATATATATATTTATTTATTTATTTATTTATTTATATTTATTTATTTATTTATTTGTGTATGTATGTGTTTACTTATATATATATATATA